CCCCTTCCTGCCCCTCCCACTCCAGAGACAATACCACTCGGTAGCCATATTTTGTGTGTACACGTGGAAGATTTGAACCCCTGGTAAAATTGTCGAAATGACAACTCACCCTTCAGGCATGGCATCTCTCTCGTACACCATGCACAGTGCTGACAACATGGTACCTGCCGAGTTGCCCTGTTAGCCCAGTTAGTAGAGCACTGCAGAGTGTCGTGGATTCGAATCCCACCCAGGGTAGCTCTTCTTAAAAACTGATGTAGTTGCCTTGTTTGTTTTGCCTTGCTACCTTGTTGTTGACACATCTGTACTTCAAATTGCAGCATCTCCTTCTCTCGTATGTGCAGGTATCAATGATCTCTTCATTATCTGCTCTGAACTGGTGGGAGTGGCTCACAAGTGGAAGAAGGTGGGACTGGCTCTCAGACTGGACCCAAACTTACTCCGCAGAATCAAGGCAAAGAAAAATGACGTTGAAGACAACTTATCAGATGTGTTGGAGGAATGGTTGAAGAAGTCGTATGACACAGAGAGTTTTGGGGATCCGTCATGGAAACTGCTGGTGGATGCAGTGGCTCATCCAGTTGGAGGCAAAGACCGTGCCCTTGCCATGGAGATTGCTGCCAAGTACCACGAGTAACAGCTAAAACTAAACCCAGCCCATCAATTAGTGGTACAGCGCATGCCTTTACTTACGCGTGCACGTCACAATGCGCCGAGGGTTTGCACTTCAGTGCTTTTCATTATGACAATGAATACAAACACGAGGACCCAGAGACCAATTCTCACATTATGTGAGGCCAAGACCCACATGGGTCGTTAGGAGTGAAAAAAGGTCAACAAGTAGTAATAATTGTGAAATGAAAAGCACTAAAGCAGTAAAAGCAGTAAAACCCTCGGTGAACTGTGCATGCACGGTATCCCTAATTCATGGGCTATGCTATTAGTATGCGCGTTTACTCGTTAGTAGCTCACGGAGAGTCTGATACGGGCGAGCTAGAGTAGTAGAGAGCATGCAGCAGTCAATACACGCCCTTCATTGTGACTTCTTGTGCCTTCAAGATACACATAGCAGGTGGACCCGGTTGAGGTAAGCCTCTTCTAATTAGCATATTGGCTTGTTCACTTGGTTTTCACGCCATAACTTTAAAAGCAGTATTTTTATGAAATCGCCTTTTTAAAAATCAAGCCAGTGTAGCACTGAACCAATTACTATCGCTCTTTGGCCGATTTCTTGTGTGTGGTGGCAGAAAACGTGGAAACAGACAGACAGACAGACAGACACACTTACGAACCAAGTACTGTAACCCTTGCTGCGCATGCGAACCGAGGGTTAATAAAGGGGGACAACTAGGTAAGTGTTTTGCACAACCAAAGTATGTAGTTTACAATTCTTGTGAATGATGTCATTACTTGGACTAAAAATAGTTGCCAGCGGCCTAACAGTGAAGTATGATATTATGTGAGTCGGCATTAGTTAGGCAAGTCTATGTTGATATGGGCATTAGATCTTACTTTAGAAGCTCCTGTAAACCATCTATGATAGTATATACCTACTGGGTTTTGCACACCAGTCAGGCATGCTGTTAATTACAGTGTGTGCGTGTGTGTAAAGGGGTATTCTGCCACTACAGACTACGAGGCAGCCTATGAGTGATACCAGAGCTTAGGAAACGTCTGAGATATGCCGTGAACACAAGCCGAAATGTCAATGTGCATTTGACCAGGTTGCCTGTTCTGTGCGCCATTGAGGGATGGAGTTACTTGAGGATGTCTAGCATTCGATCAACAGGAAATACGCACGCTCATCGATCAGCTCAAAAAAGCAAAAGCAAGAACACTCGATTTAGGGAAAGTGGTCTAAACGCTACCCACTGATGCACCTTTGCCTGCGATGGCTAGATCGCATGGTGTGACCAACCTATGCACATATGAATCGTAATTGTGCACTGCTAACAACCCGTGTGTGTCTACACTTTTTAAAAATTATTATCTACATACTAGCTGTCTGGGTAAGAAAAAGGTGAAGAACATTGATATTGTAGTGTGTGAATATCAATAAAACGTGCAAGTTTTGAGTGTGTGCATAGCTCTGGTTGCCATCTCAAGAATTAATTTGTTGATATAATACTACATTGGTGACCACGACGCAAGCTCTAGAGCCATGTCCGTTGCAGATCAAGCACACGCAGCAGAAGTCCACCATTCCAATCTGCATCTGTGGTTCACACAAAGGTAGAAGAGCACAGTTCAGATGATGAATGTCGTTGCTTACCTTTCACTTGAGTTTGTCACGCATGTCTCAACAACTTGGTAACGAGGTACGTAGAAAGGCAAGGCAAGGCAAACAAGACAACTACACCCAGGACAGCTCTTCCTTTTCAAAGAAAAGAAGGAGAGTTGCCCTAGGTGGGATTCGAACCCACGACACTCTGCAGTCTAGGTGAGCGCTCTACCAACTGAGCTACCAGGGCAACTCAGCTGGTAGGGGTTCGAATGTACAACACAACACAAGGCAAACCTCAAACCACTGTGCTATGGCACAGTAAACTCTCACTCAGTATGCATGAAGGTATTAGACCATGTGATGCCAAGAGAAAAGAGATGTGGAGCTCTGGACAGCTGTTTCAGGCTTGTTGGCCCTCATCAGCAGAGCATACCGTAACTTCTCTCTCTGGCATCACGAGTTTATAAAGGCTACCAGGAGCGCAGCGCTTGTGGTTCTGAACTAATGAGATTCATCCCCACAAGGCTTTGCCACTGGTACGTGCTGCCCATGCCCAGACATTTGTGGTTTGGAGCCTAGGCCCCTCCCCACTCCTGCAGGTCAAGGCCAGTACCGAGCCAAAACTCGAACTCGCAATCCTGGCATGTGGATTGGGCTGCGGCATGCACAGGTTACGATTCTGTTTCCTGCTAATTCTCCATACTAATCGCCCACACCACCCTCCCCACCGAGCACAGACTCTGACAACTGTTCAAGTCCACATAGTTAGGTGACCAAAGACCATCTCAGCTACATTGCCACATGCTGCAGTTGTTTGGAGAAGATACAGTTTGCACTGATAACACACTCCTGCGAGAAATGTTTCTCCAACGTCTCCCTAGTAATGTTTGCATGGTCAAGGCCTCATCAGGAGACAGAAACACTGTCGAGGAACTTGCAGTCATCCCAACTTCTGATGCTTGTCACCAACCCCCAACAGTTAGACGAATTCTACACCCTGCCGTTTGCCAAAACTGCATTCCAACCTCCGTGTGCAGCGCATCCTGGAATGTCGTTTCAGTGCAATTCAGTGCAAGTCAAGACAGTAGAACGGCACTCTTTGCTTTAAACAAGTGACATATTAAATTATCATCAATCACTGCCGGTAAACCTGATAAGAGTCACATGTTGCCACGTAATAGTCGAAAATACCTTATGGCTAACCCAGGAAGAGTTATCACCACTGAAGTGATAGCATCTCTGGTTGGTGAAACCTGGGCACAATCTGCTACTTCCGTTAATATTCTCAGTGGTTGTAAGAAGAGTGGGATTTCTCCACTGAATCCAAGTGAAGTCAGTGACAGAACGTTAGCACCCTCCATGGCCTTAAATGCTTGTAGTATCAGCTACACCTACCTTCAGTGCAGAACTAAGTAGTTTGTATGAGCAGAAAGTTCGTGAGGGTTATGGTCTGCATGACCTGCAGTACGAGCTGTGGGTAAAAGAGAACCACCCTGGGTCATCCGATACAGACTCCTTGATGACACATGTCAGCAATTCTAGATCGCTTTCAACAGTATCCTCGAATGACCTCAGTGATATCCTCAAATACCCCGAACCCAAAGTGACCTCAAGAGCCAAGAAGCCAGGAATGAATAGTTCCTGTGCTGTATGTTTGAGTGACTCTCCAGTTGTTAAGCAATTGAGGGAGAAAGAAGAACGAAAGAGACATTTGGAAGAAGAGAAACTGAGGGAAAAAGATGAAAATGAGAAAAAGAAAGCTGAACGGGAAAGAAGTAAGCTACTGAAAGAGAAACAAAAAGTGGAAGGAACGTGAAGTCAAGAGAAGACAGAAAGATCAAGCAAATGCCAAAAAGAGAGTGTCACCCAGATGTGACAAAAATACAAGGACACGATGTGTCGAACGAGGAAGGAGACGATGTGTCGAACGAGGAAGGAGACAGTGTGGCGAACGAGGAAGGAGAGGGTGTGGCAAACAAGGAAGGAGACAGTGTGGCGAACGAGGAAGGAGAGGGTGTGGCGAACAAGGAAGGAGACAGAGTGGCGAATGAGGAAGGAACCGGTGTGTCGAACGAGGAAGGAGACGATGTGTCGAACGAGGAAGGAGACAGTGTGGCGAACGAGGAAGGAGAGGGTGTGGCAAACAAGGAAGGAGACAGTGTGGCGAACGAGGAAGGAGAGGGTGTGGCGAACAAGGAAGGAGACAGAGTGGCGAATGAGGAAGGAACCGGTGTGTCGAACGAGGAAGGAGAGGGTGTGGCGAACAAGGAAGGAGACAGTGTGGCGAACGAGGAAGGAACCAGTGTGTCGAATGAGGAAGGAGAGGGTGTGGCGAACAAGGAAGGACACAGTGTGGCGAAGGAGGAAGGAACCAGTGTGTCGAATGAGGAAGGAGCCAGTGTGTCGAATGAGGAAGGAGAGGGTGTGGCGAACAAGGAAGGACACAGTGTGGCGAAGGAGGAAGGAGCCAGTGTGTCGAATGAGGAAGGAGAGGGTGTGGCGAACAAGGAAGGACACAGTGTGGCGAAGGAGGAAGGAGCCAGTGTGTCAAACGAGGAAGGAGATGGTGTGTTGACAGAGGAAGGAGACAGTGTGGCGAAGGAGGAAGGAGCCGGTGTGTCAAACGAGGAAGGAGATGGTGTGTTGACCGAGGAAGGAGACAGTGTGGCGAACGAGGAAGGAGATGGTGTGTCGAACGAGGAAGGAGACGGTGTGGTGAATGAGGAAGGAGATGGTGTTTTGACCGAGGAAGGAGACAGTGTGGCGAACGAGTAAGGAGATGGTGTGTCGAACGAGGAAGGAACCGGTGTGTCGAACGAGGAAGGAGATGGTATTTTGACCGAGGAAGGAGACAGTGTGGCGAACGAGGAAGGAGATGGTGTGTCGAACGAGGATGGAGACGGTGTGGTGAATGAGGAAGGAGATGGTGTTTTGAACGAGGAAGGAGATGGTGTGGTGAACGAGGAAGGGCATGGAGTGGTGAACGAGGAAGGAGATGATGTGGCGAATGAGGAAAGAAGACATGTGTCAAACGAGGAAGGAGACAGGGAAGAAGATGATTGCCCTATGTGCCATGTTAAAGGACTCGCTTGTCAATGGATTTGTTGTGACTATTGTGATAGTTGGTTTCATACCCACTGCACTGAAGCAAACCCTGGATATTATTAAATGTGTGTAGTTCTGTAGTTTTTTCCCAATTTTAAAGTACACTGACACATAATACATGTGGTGTCCCATAATGTTGAATGGGAACAGGTTCTACTAAAAGTTAAACAGCAGGTGCAATTTTACTTCAGTGTGGAGATAATGCTGTACAGAGAAAAGTTAGATGTGTGTCGTTTACGTATGTCTAAAAAATATCTTGGGGTGTGGTCAAGTACTATAAATGGAAGTAAATCA